TGCTCGGGATGTTTCTGTTTAGGGGGCCCTGTGTGGGGATTTTTTCCAGCTTTTTGAAGCAGCTGAATGGGAAGGACATAATGCCAAATCTCTCTTTTCCCCTTCCTCCCTGGTTTCCAGCATCCAGCAGCACAAAAGTATTGACCCGCTCAAGTTAATTCAATTTTAGGTGCTGTGGGTTTTATTATTCAAGCTTTTCCCTCATTTATAGCCTCAGGGTTTTCAAAACTCTCAGTTAAGGGCAACAGAGCTTTTCTAAAGGATTCTTCATTTCTCCTTCCCAGAAATCCTGATTCAGGTGTTGGAAGGAGATGATCTTTACGGCCCCTTCCAACCCAAATCATGCTGTGGTTCTGTGTGGAAAGAAAACACGGCTTACATGGGGAGAAAATCCTTCAGCTCTTGCAAGGAGTTTGTTCTTCCCTGGCAAACATTTCCCAGAGGTTGGATTTGGGAAGGGGGAGAAGCTATTAATGTGTGTGGCTCAGCTCAAACTTTCCCTCCTCCCTTCCCTTCTTTCAAAAGATGATATTGCTATTTGTTATATGCAAACTCTGTTGAGAATATTGAATTTGGTACATTAAATACCAGAGATGAAGGTCTTAGTGGCTTTTAATGAAGAGGATAAATTCTCCCAACTACATTTCCCTGTGTATCATCCCCAGTCCCCTTTTCCCAAGCCTTTCCCTTCATTTACAAACTTCCAAAGCTGCCAATAAATTTGTTAATCTCGGTGAAATGCTGTTCCTACTGCAAATATTAGGAAAGATCAACTAATCCCAGTCCCGGGCTGGGAGAGGGCCCGGTGGGAGACTCAGGGTGTGCAGCGTGCAGATCCAAACTGGATCTCTGGGATCCCAGTGGGGAGAAACTTCCCGTGGCTATTTGGGAAATGTTAATCCCATGGAAAGGCTCCCAAGGCAGCCGAGCCCAGCAGGCAGAAGGAAAATGAAGCAGGGATGGCAGCGAGGAGCTGGAGAGCCTGTCCATGTGGCTCAGCTGGGAATACCCAGGATTGGTGGGGTTGGAACAGCTCTGGCAGCTCCATCCCTTGGGCTCTGAGCACCCAAAGCTCCCATCCAGCCCTGACCCCTAAAAACCCACAGATCCCAATCCCATCCCCACAGATCCCAGCCCCATGCCAGAAATCCCAATCCCATCCCACAGATCCCAGCCCCATCCCAGACATCCCAATCCCATGCCAGAAATCCCAATCCCATCCCACAGATCCCAGCCAGCACTCCTGATTCCCAATCCCAGTGTAACTTCACATGGCAAAGTCATTGGCGGGGGCATTTTTTGGGAAGGAAATGGTGAAGGATCAACAGAAAGCTCGAACACAAAGATTTCTGAGGCACTGGCCCAGGTTTCCCAGAGAAGCTGTTCAAAGCCAGGCTAAAAAAGGATGAAAAAGAGTGGAAAATCAGGTGGACCCTGGAATTTCATCGAAATAGTCAAGATGAAACCAGGAAATGAGCAGCTCTGCTCCCCATAATGAAGCTCTCCATGAAATGATGGTCATTGTCCATGTGTTGCACGAGGGCCTGGACACGAACCGATATGGAGCTGGGAATGAGGGTGGGCTGGGGGACCTCTCCAAGTCCTTTCAGGCTGTTTTTTGGGCAGAAACTTTGGGAATGCGATTGCAGAGCATCAGGGGAGGTGGCCGGACACATCCTTTCCCTCTAGCTATTTCCCTTCTGCGTTTGCCCATGCCAAAATCCATGCCCAAAAAGCTGCAGGGCAACCAGGAAAGGCAGCGAGCAAGTAGCTGCTGGCAGGTTTGCCCGTTCTGACCCATTCCAGTGGACACTGTGCCCTCCCAGCCCGCTCAAAGCAGGCGCCCGCGCTCCGTAACGCTGCCGCTGCGCAGTGCCCGCTGCACTCATGCCACCGGCAGCCTTGGCAAAGCAGCAGGGCACTCCGAGGGGGAAGGGCCTGGCCCCCGGCCCCCTTTGCGCTGCTTCCCTCTCCTTGCCCTCGCTGTGTGCCCTGGCAGAGGGACGGGAGCGGGGCAGCAGCTGGCACGGCCCGCTCCTCTGATTCCTCCGATTGCGGCTTCGGCAGCTGCGGAGCCCCGGTGCCAAGTTCTCCTGGCAGTGCCCCGCGGGTGTCGCTGCCGTCTCCTCCGGCAGGGAAAGCTGCTCGGTGTCACCGGGTGGCAGGGAGAGGGCGGGAGGGAAAACTCCTGTCAAGTTTTAGGGAAGTGGGCTCTGAGTCAGGGCTCACCCAAACTGGCAGCAGCACACAGCAGCTGGGGTGGCTCCAGTGCCCCGGCTGGGCCAGGGTTTGCAGCAAGTCGGGCTACTGGAGGTGTCCCTGGAGGAGCAGGATGGCATTTAGGGTCACTTAAACCCAAATCAGTCAGGGATTCCGCACTTCCATCCAGCCGTTCCGTTGTGTTTGGAGCCTACATTCCCAACGGTCACTTGGGAAGCGAATCCCAGTGCCTCGGGAGGCTTTTAGGAATTCCCAAGGATTTGGTTTAATCAGTGATCTGCTGTAATTTAATATATTTGCAGTGCTCTCTTCTTTAATACTTAATGAGTGATGATTAGGTTTGTGTATCAGAGCTGAAATCTGCAAGTTAGGTGGCAATTAATGTTTGAAGTGCTCCGTAACTCCAGATATAATGATCCTATTTGCCAAGTAATTATGGAATGTATGTGCCTAATAAACAGTAACACTCGCTCCCGTGCTCACCTGAGGGGCTGCCCATGGGAAAACACAGGTACAGAAGCACAGGTAGAGGAGAAGGAGGCCGGGCCTTCCTCCCAGCCACTGCATCCTCCTCCCCTGGGCCTCAGCTCTGCCAGCAGGGCGTTGGGCTGGGGCAGCGCAGCGTTTGAACCCTCAGGAAAGGAGGATTTCACTGGATTTAAGGCAGAGGGTGGAAGGGCTCCCGGGGAAGCTGTGGCTGCCCCTGGATCCCAGGCCAGGCTGGCCAGGGTTCGGAGCCTGGATGGCACCGGATGAGCTTTGGGGTGCCCCTCCGAGCCATGCATGGGTGCTGCCATGCATGCACAGTGTCCCAAGGAGGGTCCCTACGATGGCCAGCAGTAAGAGACCTCTGGCTTCCCTCCCAGCTCTCCTGCCCTCAGCAGAGGCAGTTTCTTGGCAGGAAGGGGATGATGTAACCCAGCAGGGTCTGCGCTCCCTCTTTTCCATTACCCCGACTTCCTCCCTGCTAATTCCAGCCTGGCCTCGCTGCTTAATTAGCAAAAAGAACCATTACATAACACAAGCAGCCAGGCCAAAGAAAACAGCCCCACAAGGGCCGGGTGCCACCCAGCCCAGGAAAATCGGGAGTCGAATTCCACTCCCGGAATTCTTTACAATATTCCTCCTTGCCAAAGCCAGGCAAATATTCCACTTGCTCCAGCTCTGCTCGCAGAGCTCGGACTGCTCTGCAAACGCCAGTTCACAGTGGCTCTTTCAACAAGCACAGAGCTGCACATTTCACATCAATAAATATTCCAGGGGGATTTTATTCTTCCAAAATACCCCAAAAATGAGGCTGAACAAGGCATTTCCTCCCAGGCCGTGGAGTTTAGGAGCAGTTGAGCTCCTGCTAAACACAACCAAGTTAATTTGTTATTGCTTTAATTTAATTCCCACCTGTTATT